AAAAGGATTGGTAAGTTAATTTTATCAAAGGTAATTGTTAACATGACAAGATTGTCACGATCGAAGTGACTTTAAGGACCTACCATCCTATTAAAGAGGATTGGTAAGTTAATTTTGTTAGATGTAATTGTTAACATGACAGTGGGAGTGGACCCGTCGTTCTATTAAAGAGGATCGATGGGGAAAATTTGGAGAGGACTATCAGAGGTGATCGTTAACATGATAGTTTTATGGACCCGTCATCCTATTAGAGAGGATTAGTGAGGGAACTTGGCTTTGGTCTTAACTATCTGGAGTTTTAACCAAATGAGAGTTTGAGACGATCCTAACTGTGAGAAGGTTTAACCGTTCAATTTGGTTGACCTCTCGCTCGTGGAACGAATGTTGTTCATTGCATATTGTACACTGTTAGATTATAGATGCTCGACATCGTAACATTAGAGTTAGTAATGTTGTGTTTGGCAAAAACATTGCAGGCGGTGTAGAAAAAATAAATTTGTTGAAATCTTAGGCTTTGAAAGCACAAACCAACAATGCACTGGAGCTTGCCTTTGAGTCAGATAAGAGAATGCATGAGCTTGATTCTTTGTTAACAAGTTTCATAGAGAGGGTTGAAGAAGAAGGCAGAGGGTGTCAAGCAATAGATGTTGGTAGCAGCCACATTCCTGACTCGGATCTTCCACAAATACCTACTTCACATACAATCCAACATATTCCACAAATTACAGTTCGTGACCCGGAAAAGCAAGAAAGAACCAAAGGTCGTCCACGCAATGCTACAAGAATTAAATCAACTTTAGAACAAGCACAAGAAAAGAAAGAGAGGCAAAAGCGTACATGTAGTAGATTTGGACAACTTGGGCATTATAGGACTAGCTATACATTTAACAAACTCATGTATGTTTAATTACGTTAACAAGTTAAAATATTTTATTACTTAAATCGTAATATTAATTTTATCTTTGATATTTTATGTAGCGAAACTGACAAACAAGACTAAAGAACAAAGTTTATGGAGATGCACTTTTTAAGAATTATTTTATGTAGCGAAACTGACAAACAAGACTAAAGAACAAAGTTTATGGAGATGCACTTTTTAAGAATTGGTGATGAAATTTCATTTTGCCTTTGACTATATTGTAGTAATGCAATAGTTTCAAATCTGATATTGTATTTGTTAAATTTTTCTTTTAGGTTGATGGACTTCACAAATTTAGCTACTCGTTACCCTGTTTGTAGTAACACAGTTTGAACTTTTCTCTAGCTCACAAATTCTGCAACATATCAACTGAATGAATGGTGGAGAGTTGGGGTCTAAGGCATTGCTGAAGTTATATGGGCCACATCATCTGAATGAATGTTGGAGATTTTTGTATGGAGATGTTGATTCTCTTTGGGGAATGATCACTCTTTTCTCATAATGCTGTACAAGAAAAGGTTGCGAACATCATGTATCGGAGAAGAATCTTTATACATAGTTATATGCTTTATGCATTTTGAGAATGCCAAATATGTGAACTTGAAAGTTAACAGAAGTCATAATTGTATTTAGCTTTGTGACATATGCCTTTCTATGATCATGTTCGTATGTTACTCTATGATCTATAAGGAGAGGAAAAGCTTCTCTTTTAGTTACTTGGAACATTTTGGTGATATCATCTTTCTAATACACAATAAATAGATATAATGCTGACATTTTCTGGGCCTTACAACAGAGTACATCTGATATATGTGATAATGTTTGAGTGGACCAATATGAAAGAAAATCTAATGTTTGCTACTTAATGCACGATACAGATACGTGTTTTGATCTTTCAAGAGGTGCTCCTACAGTTTCAATGGTTTAAAAGACTAATTTGAAAATATAAAATTTTAGGGACTAATATCTTAAAAAAAACATTTTGGTTGTCTGGTGTTTACAAGTTTTTACCTTGCGACGCAAATTATCTAGTTGCCGATGCATCAGTTGATGCTGTTAAGATACAAGGAGAGTTAGAGAAAGAAACTGCTATAATTATGTCTAGTTCAGGTTCAGATCCGTTGAATCGATTTATATACCTTTCTGGTTCGAACTTTGTTAAGCGAGTACTCTAATTGATCTTCAAGTTGGTTCAGGTCATTGTTCGAACTTTGTTAAGCGAGTACTCTAATTGATCTTCAAGTTGGTTCAGGTCATTAAGAGTTAAAGTGCAAGAATCATGTTCAATCAGAGTCTGCTAATTGATCTTCAAGTTGGTTCAGGTCATTAAGAGTTAAAGTGCAAGAATCATGTTCAATCAGAGTCTGTCAAAAGATTAAAGCAATTAAAATCATTGAAAAACTCACAATAACTTACATTAACCCGTGCTTCATAGGTGAAACAGAAATTAAAATTCTACTACCATAAATAATCATAACAACTGAACCATAACAAATTACCATAACCAGTTTGAACATTCATTTACAATAGGATATTTGGATACATCAGTCATTCACTGATATGTTGCTCAGGCATTTGACTATAACGCAAAGCAACAATATCATTACAACGATACGTATAAATTTTAAATATAAAATTACACCATTCAACATTTTTTCAAAACATCATCATTTTTTCCAGCCTTTCCAGCCTTTTTGTGATGTTCTTGGTATCACCCACCCATTCGAAGAAGTTGCAACCCTTGTAATTAGGTCCCTTGTATCTCGGGCATCCATAAAATTCCAAGCCTTTATTGTGTCCTTGCTTGCATATCCATATTCTGTAAATTAACCCACAATAACGTCTTCTTTGAACTAAACCCTCATCTTCTTCTTCACTGAACTATTCCGAAAAGTTCTTCATCTTTTATCTGCAAAAAACATACCACAAACAAGATAAAATTCATACAAAAAATATACTATCATCTCATTGTGGATTTTTTTTCTTCTGCAATTGTAGTTGAAAAAAACACAATTTATCTTTTTCCTTCTTAGAAAATGACTCACTCATACTTGTAACCTTATAGCAAACATCCTACTTATGTTTACAGCTTGAAACCTATAATTACCATATAGCACATTCAGCTCATCAAATCCTGTTCAAATTGCTAAAACCAGTAATGAGTTTTGCTAACATTTCATACGAAACCAAATTACTCACTAAATATTTTTAAATGAACCAAATTAGACGATAAAGTTAATGTCAAATGATTTTCATCTTCACCACCCATTTACCGAACCTTGTACAAGAATAAAAGCTTATACCAGGTGACTTTAACCCACAACCAATCAGATCATCATGCACAACAAGTTCAACAACTGATGAATGATACATGTTTTAACCCGCAAAAGTAGCAGTTAAGTTTTAGCTATTATCCCCAAAATAAATTTAAAAAAATCAAATAAACAAAATTGAGAAACCTCACTGGTCAATTCTTGTTGTCGATGATCAAATGTTTCACTTTAGAGGGAGGGAGATAAAACCACGACCGCATGTTTTAATCAAGGACCCACAATCCAATAACCAAACTGAATGAAGTTATTCATATTAAAATAGAAATAGAGGAAGAATTTTACTGTGATCTGGAGACGACAGATCGGGTTCCAATTTGTCGAATGCGCTGGCTAGGGAGGCCGTGAGAGATGGGGGAGCGCCCGAGCAGAGATCTGGTTCCGAGCAGAGGTGGGGGAGCGCCTGGAGAAAAAAAATGGAAAGCGCAGAGGGGAAGAAATAAGGAGGGGGAGCTGGTGGGGAAGAAATGTGGAGGGGAAGCGCCTGGAGAAAGAAAAAATGAGGAAGATAAAATGGAAAAGCGCTTGGAGGAGGAGGAGCGTTTGGAGAAATAAAAATGGGAAGAAATGAGGCGGTCATGACCTTGGGAAAGAAGAAGATGGAAATTTGTAAAAAAACCCAGATCTGCAATTCCCTCATGCCGCTATTTCTCTTCCAATCAGCCTGCGCCACGTGAGCTCTAGCGCAGGAAATTTTCCTGCGCTCGAGCTCAGGTTCCGTTTCCCCATATATATATATATATATAAGTATATATATATATATTGTATGGTTATAAAAAGGAGTATGATGATTATGAGAGCAATAACATGATAATACCAAATTCCATGCACCTCATGAAGAAAAAATAGTAACTTCCAAACTTTCCAAAAAAATATTATTATTCAAATACAAAAAAGATGATGGACCAAGAGGTAAATTTTAAGAAAGGAAAATTTATAAAAATATATATATATATATATATATATATATATATATATATGTATATACACATACATACATACATACATCATGTTTGTCATACTTTTTCTTATGATTACTATTGAGATTGTTTATTATAAAACATGAGCTTATAATGTCCAAATGTGTTGTGCAATTTTATTTTTAATGTAATAAAAAACGTGGTTTCTTTTTAACTAGAACAATAGTTTATAATGATATTGCTATTCATGCTTAACTCCATATTATAGCTTGGGATTAGTAGAGTTTGGAATATGACATAATATCCAAAAATGTTGTGCAATTCTATCTTCAATGCAATAAGAAATATGATTTCTTTATTTCTATAACTATAGTTCATAATAACAATTGCGATATCCCAGTTAGGTATATTCTTCCCAGATTAGCTTAAAAACCCATTACATTGATTTTTAATAATATTTAAATAAAAATAATAGTAAATTTAATAATTCAAATTTACATATTTCAACTCAATATGAATCTGCCTTATTTATAGTAATGAAGCAGTGCATAAAAACTAGTTATTGAAAAAGACTGAGCGTATCATCATTATGATTAAAATATCACTTTAGTTTTTCCAAAGGAAAAAAAAAAAAAAAAACAGTTTAGCTACGCGCATATGGATCATTCAAAATCCCGCCCAAACAAAATTCGGGTCGGGTTTACCATCCTAAGAATCCGCTCTTTTACTGCTTGTTTCTGGGTTTGTTCGGGTACAGACCCGATACGTTAACAATTCAGTGATTATTCGGGTACAAACCCGATTGCCAAACGCTAAAAATGGTCCCCAAAACCCTCACTTCACAGATTCACTCTCGTTCCCTCACATTTCCGCCGACGATGCCGGCCGCCTCCGACGACTCCCCGGCGACGGCGATGGAGGTAGACTTAGAACCGCTGCCGGATGTTACTCGATCTCTTGGAACGGTAAAATCCAAAGTTCATTTTTTTAACAATTTTTTTTGTTCACTGAATTTGCTGATGAAAGTTTCGTTATAAAAATACAGTCTTGCTCGTGTCGAATGGCTGATATCCCTGATACATTTCATTGTGTTCTGCAAGCTGACACTTTGTCCATACTTAATAACTCATCTGGTAACTATAAATTACTTCTTATTTTAATTAAAATTGATTTATGTAATTAGGGTTTATTGAGTAATGTATTTTGCAGGCGAAGTAGTGTGCATTCCTTTACGGTATTCTGTTGAGCATATATGGCCTCTTCCTTTTGGTTTGCTCCTGCAGAAATCGATGGAAGGGAATCGGCCTGTCCCGGCTTCGAGTTCGTTGCTGAATTCGAGGGATTTATCTCGTCCTAACAATAGAGATCATGTGAATAGTCAATTTTTGTTGAGTAAGGATGACGATGCCAATGTCGCGTCACACTTGATTCTGATACATCCGATGGAGGAACCTCAGGTGTCTATGGCTTTCTTTTTATTCGTCATGCTTTAGTTAATTTATGCATGTTGTCATTCCATGAGAATTGTAGACCCAAATAACTTATTTGCCAATCTGAATTCGCTCAGAAGCAATGGATTCGAAATGATGTTGGAGAACTCTCTGATTTTTCCTTAAAGGAGAGTGGGTAGGGTGCTCTTTTGCGGATGAACTTGGACCTCGAGGGTTCTATTAACTCAATGATGTAGAATTGAGGGGTAATTTAGCAAGTATCTACATTTGGTGGGTAAATTTCAAATATGATCGACGTGGGGGGTGTATATGTAAAAAACCATTAATTTTATTTTCCCGTTCAATAATCTACATTCCTTTGTCATTTTTGGTTAATTGTGCAGTGATAACTTTCGATGCAAACTACATGATACTGTTCCAATTTGAATTTCAAACTGTGCTGGATTTTTTTTGTATCATTCTTCCCTTTATGTTTCACACTTTGCTTTCAATAATGTTCCAAATAGCTGTGCTAGTTTGCCAACTGGGGAGGAAGTAGTGCCTTGATGCGTGAAGTGTTTTGAGTGAAAGGAAATTAACGTTTAATTGATTGAAAAATATTAAAGCGGGGCGAAAATTGTTAAAGGTCGTAAACTTAGCGAATTATTAAAAAAATGAACCATGTTTCGCTTAATATCATTAGTCGCGTTGAATGTGCAAGGAATCAGCGACTTAAACCCAAGATTTTTACTGGTCCTATGTGTAGCTATTCGGAGTCTCTACACACTTTCTAATAGCTTCCAACTGAACTAGTCTCTGACTCTCTGTTATGTAATCAGCCAATTAACAGTATAAGGTACATCAAATATACTAGTTCTCTAATGTTGCTTCTACCTAGTCCTACCTGCAGTCTATTAGGCTATCTTGGACCTACTTTTGAATGCCTTGCTGTTTTCCTAGTTTCTTGTTTTGAGTTACACCATAATGTAACTTATTTCTTGAGTAGGCAACTTATTTTGAGGAAAGGGGGAAGTTGAGCGTTATGAAAGATTTTGAAGAAAAGACAATATGGACCAGTGATGCTATGTCTCTGATGGTATCATACCATAAAGGTTTTTAGCTGGAACTCCAGTATATCTCTTTTACAATTTAAACAAATTGTTTAATACCTAATGGATTAGCGCTTCCAACTGCAGGCAAGACACAACATTCTGTTTGGTTTGTACAAATTGTTGGTAACTGTGAAGTAGCCAGTGCTGGATCAAACTCTGATGCAATTCCAACCGAGATATGCAAGCGACAATTTTCTTTTCGGAGGATATGGCAGGGAAAATGTTCCCATTCTGCTGCCAGTAAGGTTATTCCTTTACTTGGTCATGCAGTTACTTGTTTGAAATGAATTAGAACTGTAGCCCTTGCTATTTTACACAGATAGAGGACGTCATATTTCCATTGTATGACTATTATGTTGGAGATGCTTTGCATTTTAAATTGTTAGTATGGTAGGATGAAGCTGTGTTTCTAAATTCTTGTCATTTTTTGTATAATATAGCCAAGTAGATATA